CTGTATCCTTTCTTAACTCTCTTGTTTTCTTAACTGAAAACGAACGCCCACAGCTGGCCACTCGAGAGGCACCATAGGGGCCTTCCTGGCTGGGTTTTTTATCCTGGGAGTCGGAGGCTTCCTGTTCCTTTGGCACTTACGAGAGAAGAAGAAGAAGAAGAAGAAGACGGAGATGGAGAGAGGCAGGTTTCACTTACCTTTCTGGGTCCATATGTCTCCCCTTTCCCCTTGGATCCTGGGCCTCCTTCCTCCTGCATTTCAATGGCAGGAAGTGGCCTTGTAGAGGGGATGATGGGTGTAGCCATGATGGCATTGGGTTCCTGGCTGTGTGTGTGAGTGTGTGTGTGTGTGAGTGTAAGTTTGTGTGAGTGTTTGTAAGTGTGACTGTGTGATAGAGTGTGTGAGTGTGTGTGTGTGAGAGTGTCTTAGTGTGACAATGTTACTGTGAGGGTGTGTAAGTGTGTGAGAGTGTGTTTGTGAGAGTGTGTGGGGCAGAATGTAAGTGAATGTGTGAATGTGTGTTAGAGTGAGTGTGATAGTGTGTGAGTGTGAGAGTGTGCAGGAGTGTGTGTGTGATTTAGTGTGTGTAGGAGAGTGTAAGTGTGAATGTGTGATTGTGAGTGTGAGTGTGAGTGTGAGTTTGTGTGATTGTGAGTGTGTGAGAGTAGTGTATGTTAGTGAGTGTGGGAGTGAGAGTATAAGCCTATGTGTGTGAGTGTGTGAGTGTGAGTGTGTGACTGTGTATGAGTGTGTGAATGTGTGTTAGAGTGAATGAGTGTGACTGTATGAGTCTGTGAGTGTGAGTTTCTGAGTGTGTGTGAGTGTAAGTGTGTGTGTAGGGTTGGAGGTTTCCCTGGCACAAAATCAAGCTCCAGTCTGTCATGACTCAGGTGCGGGATTGCCAGAGAACCCCAAGGCCAAGGACAATGCAGTCTATGCACAGCTGACTGCACAGGATTATCGGAAGGGCAAGCAGAAGGTGAAAGCTGTGAGTGGTGACCAGCCAGGTCTCAGGAAACCCAGCCCTGGACTGCCTGCCCAAAGCCAGGTATCTGATTAGCTGTCTCCACTGTATTTTTTCTTTCCTTTTTACCTCTTTTTGTGTTGAGAGTATTAAGAAAATTTATGGGTTGGTGTCATGGTTAATTTGAATTATTGACTTGATTGGATTAAGAGATGACAAGGAAGGGCTGAGGTTGTGGCTCAACGGTAGAGCACTCACTTAGCAAGTGTGAGGCACTGGGTTCCATCCTCAGCACCACATAAAATAAATAAATAAAGGTATTGTGTCCAACTATGACAAAAAGATATATATTTAGGAGAAAAAAAAAGAGAGATACCAAGGAATAAGAGGATTATGGGTGTGTCAATGAGGGTGTATCTAGGAGTGATTGGCATGTGGGATAGCCAACTGAAATGAAGA